TGTGAAGAGACTATCCTCTTAATGTTATGTATTCTTGGCACCCTTGTTAAAGATCATGTGACAATAAAGTGGTGGACTTATTTATGGGATCTCTGTTCTTTATCATTGGTCAATATATTTATTTTTATACCAACTCTGTACCATTTTATTACTATAGATTTGTGATACATTTTGAAATCAGGAAGTATGGTGCTTCCAACTTCATTCTTCCTTGCTCAAAATTGATTTGATAATTTGGAGTCATTTGTGGTTCCATATGCATTTTATGATCATTTTTTCTACTTCTGTAAAAAATGCCATTGTGATCTTGGAAGAGATTGCACTGAATTTGTAGATCACTTTAGGTAGATGGAGATTTTAATAATATTAATTCTACAACTCTGTAACAAAAAAACCCACATAATCTTTAATAGATTTTCTTCAAAGAAGATATACAAAAGCCTATAGACATATGAAAAGGTGCTCACGAAAACTAATCAAGAGGGGAATACAAATCCCAACCATAATGAGATGCCACCTCAGACCTATTAGGATGGCAATTTTTTTTGGGGGGGGGTATGGCAGAGATGGTATTTATGTATTTTTATTATTTGTTCTTTTTAGATATACATGACAGTAGAGTATATTTTGACATATGTATATACATGGAGTAAACCTATTCCAATTAGAAGCCCATTTTTGTAGTTGTATATAATGTAGAGTTGCACTGGTTATGTATTCATATATAAGGAAAGTTATGTCTGATTCATTCTACTGTCTTTTCTATTCCCATCCCCCCTCACTTCCCTTCATTCTCCTCTATCTAATCCACTGAACTTCGATTCTTCCCCTCTCTAGCCTCCTCTGTTGTGGCTTAGCATTCACATACCAGAGAGAACATTAGGCCTTTGGTTCTTTGGGGTTGGCTTATTTCACTTGGCATGATATTCTCCAGTTCCATCCATTTACCTTAGCTTTCACATACCAGAGAGAACATTAGGCCTTTGGTTCTTTGGGATTGGCTTATTTCACTTTGGCATGATATTCTCCAGTTCCATCCATTTACCTTAGCTTTCACAAACCAGAGAGAACATTAGGCCTTTGGTTCTTTGGGATTGGCTTATTTCACTTGGCATGATATTCTCCAGTTCCATCCATTTACCTGCAAATTAGATAATTTCATTCTTCTTATGGCTAAGTAATATTCCATTGTATTTATGTACCACATTTTTTTAAATCCATTCATCTGTTGAGGGGAAGCTAAGTTGGTTCCATAGTTTAGCTATTGTGAATTGAGTTGCTATAAACAATGATGTGGCTGTGTCACTATAGTATGCTGTTTTTATGTCCTTTGGTATAAACCTAGGAGTGGGAAAACTTGATCAAATGGTGGTTCCATTCCAAGTTTTTTGAGGAATCTCCATACTGGTTTCCATAGTGGTTGCACCAATTTTTAGTCCCACCAGCAATGTATGAGTTTGTTTTTTTCCTCATATCCTCACCAACATTTATTTTTGCTTGTATTCTTGATAATTGCCATTCTGACTAGAGTGAGATGGAATCTCGTGGTAGTTTTGATTTGCATTTCTTAAATTTCTAGAGATGTTAAACATTTTTTTCATATATTTTTTGACCATTCATATTTCTTCTGTGAAGCCAGTTCAGTTCCTTTGTCATTTATTGATTTATTTTTTTTTAATGTTAAAGTTTTTGAGTTCTTTGTATGTCCTGGAGATTAATGCTCTGAGGTACAGGTAGTAAAGATTCTACCTCATTCTGTAGGCTCTCTCTTCATGTTCTTGATTGTTTTCTTTGCTATGAAGAAAAGTTTGATACAACCCTATTTATTGATTCTTAATTTTACTTCTTGCACTTTAGAAGTCTTATTGAGGAAGTTGTTTCCTAAGCTGACATGGTGGAGAGTTGGGCCTACTTTTTCTTCTAGAAGGTTCAGAGTCTGTGGTCTAATGCCTAGGTCCTTGATCCATTTTGAGTTGAGGTTTGTGTTGGGTGAGAGAAAGGGGTTCAACTTCATTCTACTAAATATGGGTTTTCAGTTTTCCCAGCACCATTTGGTGAAGAGATTATCTTTTCTCCATTGTATGTTTATGTGCCTTTGTCTGGTATGAAGTAACTGTATTTATGTGGGTTTATATCTGTGTCTTCTATTCTGTTCTATTAGTCTTCCTGTCTGTTTTTCTGCCAGTACTATGCCATTGTTATTACTATGTATCTGTAGTATACTTTTAGGCCTGGTATTGTGATGAGGATGGCAATTATTAAAAAAATAGCAAGTGTTGGAGAGAATAATCAAGTATCACAAGTCATCTTGATATATGAACATTTTAATTGCAATTAGCAAATGATGAGACTTATTTGTAAATGACTGACCCCTTCTCAATATAGATAATTTATATTCACTTGCTGAGGAAAGAAATATTTCATAGTACTTGTCAAGTTTGCATCTAGATTATTTTATTTTAGAGTGTTATTTTGAAATTGTCATTTTTTTGTCTTAAATGTGTATTTATTTATTCAGTCTTTATACATGCAATTTTTCATTACAATTCTTATTACACATATATACTACAATTTTTCATATCTCTGTTTGACACCCAATTTGTGTCCTCATACATGTAATTTAGATAATGATGTCCATCACATTCCACCATCCTTGCTAATCCCCTGCCTTCTTCCTTTCTCTCCCACCCCTCTTCCCTATCTAGAATTATGTTTTATATCAGGTTATTTTTGTAGCATAAGAAAATGTGCTAAATTTATTGTGAGCTCTGACATATTGCTTCATAACCACATCATATCAATTTCCAGGAAGATAAAATAATCATCCTATATGCAAATAATAGTAATTTTTATATTCACCATTCCAGTATTTTTGCTTTGTTTCAGGTTAACTATGAATACATTGCAGATGATATCTAAAGAGAAATGATGTAATTATGTAATAATCATATTTATATTAACAATGTCATAAGATTAAGGTATCCTTTCATTTAGAGAATAAATACATAATGAGATGTCACTGTATTTTGCCATACCACACTAATATTTTTATTATTTTTGTATTAATTCATATGTGATATTGTGCCACATAGTGTTTTACTAATCTATACAGCTTTCCTTTATTCTCTGCCTCTAAAGTCATTTAATTATCACAAAACTAATTTATTCAGAATATATTTAATGGAAAAATATAGCGCATACCAACTGGTTAGGGTACCGATGGCAAGGGGAGAATACTTTTTTGATATGTTTTTAAATTTCCATATATTTAATAATTCATTTCTTGAAACTTCCAATCACTTCATAGCCCATTTTGCTATTTTGGCTACACATATGTCATTAGAAAATAATCCTGTTCTTAAAATTGTCACATTTGCTGCCATTGAACTGTATAAAGCATTACTTTATGTTTTAACAATTTACATTATTAATGAAAACTGAGCACTGACTGAATTCTTTCTGACTATAGAAATAAAAGTTAAACCCTCTCCTTAAACATGGTGAAAATTTTCCTTTTTACTCCTTATTTCTCTGATAGAGAGAACATTTCACACATATCCGTATCCACACATTTTCTCTCAATTGTAATCTCTTTCAGATCCTCTTTTTTCTAGTCTCCTTTTACCTGAATTATGTCTGGACTTTTCCCCTCTCTTTCCCTCTTTGAAAACATTCAGAACAACATTTCCCTAAAATACTTCAGGGAACCCATTCCTCCTGGCCTGAGCAGAATCATTTTCCCATGAAGAAACAGAGCATGTGATTTCTGGGATTCTGGAGTAGGGCTCAATAAGATCTTTTCAGATAACCTCAAATACCAAAAGTAACCTTTCTTGTTAGACAGTGGCTGAGTTGGGTAAACTTCCTGTCTTTTCATGGATGCTATTCCACCTTTTAACCTCAATCATTTTTAGTTTAGGAGAGCCAGCTGTAGTGGCACCCTGGTAATCCCAGCTCATCTGGAGGCTGAGGCAGGAGGATTGCAATTTTGAGGCCATCCTTGACAACTTAGCAACAATAAAAAAATAAAAAGAAGCTGGTGGGGTAGTGAGGAAAAAATGTAGTCAGTGCTAGAAGCATCCCTGGGTTCAATCCCTAGTACTCGGGGTTGGTTGGGGAAGCTTAGCAAACATGGGCAGAAATGAAAGATGAACATGCAGCTCCATGTAATGTACAAATGTTGAACTCATGAAAAGGGCTACACAGTCCAAAGAAGGCATTTGGTTATTATGATATATATGATAATTATAATTTTTGACACTTGACTACTTTTCAAGTTGGGAACTTTGGGACACTTTAAGTGACTCAACTTAAAAAAATTTAAGTTGAGTCACTTAAAGGAAAAGATGTGTACTGAAGGGTGCACCTAGTAGCCGAACCAGAAACCCACTAGGCCTGAATAGTAGGAGACCTCTTGCACGCACTGGTCTCACAGGTGGTCCTGGAAACGGTACCCGTTGTATAAGGCACCAGTTCTCTTCAATACCACCTTTTGCCCCTCCCAAGCAATGCATGCCTCTAATAGCAAGAAGCTCACAAACTGTACAACCTCTAAAACAGCCTCATTATCTCTAGCTGTCTGAAACATCATCCTAATAAGCTCATTAATGCCAACAGTGTTTAAGAGAAGGATGCTTTGAATCCGGTAATTAGCTGAGGTTAAAAAAAAAAACAAACAAAATAAAATTAGAAATTGTAATGGAAAAACCAAAATGGATGCGATTATCCATGTTGCATTTTGCTGCTGCTGCTTTTTCCTTTATCTTAGGACTTGACAAATAGTCCTTTTTCATCCCTCCCCCAACTTTCAGTGCCACTTAAAGAAAACATCCGAGGATATGTGTTATTGTGCTCTAATTACATTTGAGGGCACAGTGGCATGTGACTGTGGTATAATAACTAAAGCCCCGGAGTGCCTTTTTATTCCATTAAAAGTGACCTTAGCCTCGGATCACAGAGCTTTGCATTGATTTGTCTTTTTTGTGGTTTCCTCTCCACAGGTCTGCTTCCTCATCCAGGGTGATGCATTGAATTGTGACACACAGGGGGCAGTGAAATTAACTATCTTTCCCGTGAGAAATAATTCATCATTCAGTGTTTGCTACTAATGTGCCTCTGTTGCTAGTGAATGAAGTCATATGAAGTGTACAGAAGTTGTGGAACAGATGGGCACTACATAAATATCATTTATGGATCATAATGGCGACGACAATCATTTTCTCATTTATAAATGGGAGGCATTTGGACTGCAGCAAAGAAAATGTTGGTAAGTTTGGTTGTAAGAAACATGACTCTAATTATTTCTATGGAAGCTGCACTCTCCAGGGCTAACTTAAGCTTTGTTTCTGGCCTTTGGTAGTCTTTTAACAGTAATGATACTAATGTTGGATCTGGATGTCTGCTTGTCTCCTAGTGGAAAGTCTTCCCTGCCTTCTCTGGAATTGAGGAAGTACTTTTGTTCTGGGATCAGACAGTCATACATATATGCCAGCTTGCTTGGTCTCTGGACTAGGTTTCCATGTGGATGAGAGGAGCTAGAAGGAATAGCTAGGGTGAGCTGGGATCATTCAGATTCATCATGAAAATATATACTAAGGACTTTTACTTTGTAAGCCAGACACTGTGCTAGACCACGTACAAGGGACACAAAATGAATGAAAAGCCAGTGGCTCTTATTTGGTCCTACTGAGAAAGTAAACTTGAAACCAAAGAGGCATACACCAAAATGTTTACAGATAGATTGTGTATAACAATGGGAATTCAGAAGTGACCCATGTGTCTATCAATAAAAGAATAACAAAATAAACTATGAAATATCCATGCATTTGAAAACCATCACTACTTGTAAAGAATGAGGTAGATCCATGTGTGAAAAGGGTTCCAAGACCTGATATTAGAACTAAATGAACTATTCAAAATGATATAGCCAGCATGATACTCTATGTAAACACATCACACACACACACACACACACACACACACACACACACAATTTTTTCTCCATAATCAGAGGCTTAGAAAACAAACCTGGAAAAATATCCTCCAAAGTAGATCCTACGATTGTATAGTGTCAGAAAGTGCTATTCACCTTGGAGATGGGTTATTTGGTGACAGTCTGGCAGCCATAGGTGATATTCCTACCACACCCATCATGATTTTGGTTAACTCAGGAAGTGAAAGAGACCAGGATTAAAGATAGTTGTCAAAATGAGTTTTAACAAAATAAAACTCATTCTGGCCATCTAAAACTTAGGGGAATTAATTGGTGGGATATCAATGGGAGGCTGGAGGACTGAACTTGAAAAATATGTAGGTTAGGTACCAAAACATCCTGAGGCAGTAGGAGCAGTGGTAGTGGTAGAGGAGAACAGTGCAAAATCTTTTATTTACCAATGTCAGAAAGAAAAAAAAAAACACTTCAATCCTTATTTTCCTAATAACACAAAGAGGCAACTATGAATAATATGATTGGCCCACATGTATCTCTCAGTTTGGAGTTAAATTGAGACAGAGACTTATTACCATTAAATTAATACATAAACCAGTTCAGCTGCCTGTTTAGGAAATTGTGACTGCCTCCTTCAGTGAAGTTTCTGAAATCAGTTGTCATTTCAACATCTACTCTATAAAGCACAAATCAAAATAAGTCACCATATCCCTGTGTAAAACTGTCCAATGGCTCCCGCCAATTTAGAATAAAACCTTAAGTCTTCCATATGGCTGTGAGGCTTACTGGACTCTGCTCCGCCTCCGCATCTCTTCTCCCTCCCTCCTATGTTTCTTGTCTTCCTTTAGTTCCCAAATTCTCCAAAGTAGTTCTTACCTTGGGATCCAACCACTGTTCCCTCTGCCTGGAATGCTCTTCCCGCAAGTCTTCACCTAGCCAGCTTCTTCTTGTCCTTCAGCTCTCAAAAGATATCTTGCAAAGAAGTTTCCTAACCAACTAAATTTAATCACAGCTCCTTAAGGCTCTCTCCATATTCCTTCATCCTGTGTTAACTTCTTCATAGTCCTTGTCACTACCCAAATTTTTCTTGTATCTTGATTAATCTGTTACACAATGATGAATGATCTACTCTAGAAGGCAAAATCCAGGGGAGCAGCATTCTTGTCTGTCTTGTTCAAATGCTATGTCCCCAGCCTGAATCTACAACTGCATGTGGCACACAAATGTTTACCAGACAAATTGTTTCCAGTTTACTCAACCATTTAGTGGTTGGATTTACTCAACCATTTCCATTTATTCCCCAAAGGCTAAGTAATTGTAGGGTAGTAGTCTGGATAAGACTTTGGAATATTCCTTTCATTTTATAGTTCAAAAAAGGGAGAACAGAAAGGTAGAGTCATCTGCTTAACATCGTAGTGAGTTAATAGCAAACATGGACTAAAATCCTGGTCTTTTTCACTTCTAGAGTCAAACTTTTTTAGTACATCATGCTGACTACATCCTGAATGAATTGACTTTCAATTTATGCCTTCTGTGGCCAACATACATGAAAGGCAATACAATTTCACAAAGATGTTCCTTTTCTGAAGATGACTCTGTTATCTATTACTGGGATGATTGGACACCTGGGCTGATTATAGTGGCAGGTACATGTTGAACAATTTCAATGTGCCACATATTAATATATAGTAATTTATAATTCCCCCAAATCTCCTCAAGTAAATACTGGTATCATCTCCATTTGTAGTTGAGGAGTTGAAGGCCCAGATATTAAGAAACTTACACAAGGTCTCATAGCTAGTAAGTTTTGCAGTCAGGATCCAAACACAGGCAGTCTAATCCAAAACCCCTGCTCTTAATCATTAATACTGCTCTGCCTCCTCTGGCCATGAAGCCCAATTTATCCTTCAAAATACTAAATCAGAGCGTTTCCACTGAGACAAAAGAAGGTAGATTCCTGGGTGAATCATGAGGCAAATGAGAATCAATAGTACAGTTTTCATCAATGCGGTATTGGCAGAAGTGACTCTTTTTTAGGCTTTAATTTTCCTTTTACAAAGGTCCTCCATAAACAGCAATGAAAGAGAAAGAACAAACACCATTGAGTCACCAGCTTCCAAGGTACTGAGTGGTGCTTTATTGATGGCAGGTATATAGAGCTTCCTGGAACATGTTGTTTACGAATAAGGACTTCTTTCTGGCATCAGGAGAGCAGAGGGTTTGTGGATCCTGCTGGCCTTGGAGCATGACACACTAAATAATTGATTAAAGAGGAATGGCTTCGCTGCTTCTCCATGCAGGCCACAGTGTTTTATTAAAGCTGGTTTCTGAAGCTGGAGATGGCAATTGGACAAGGGCATAGACACAAGCTTGACAGAGACTCAAACAATACAGAACAAAGTCTCTGCTCCTGAGCAGGTGAAAACATCACCTTTTAGATCAAGTACAATTTCCTGAGTGAATGGAACAATTTTCATAGCTAGGAATCCTTCTCAATTCTCTTAATTTTGGGCTATTAACTTTCTATTCTGATTGCTACTAAAATTTTCCCTATAATAAACTGGAGGTGGAGTCCAGTAGAATATAAATCTTGGACATAAAAAGAAACTGTCTTTAGGAAAATGGGAGTGCCAAGTGCCTACTGTATTTAAATGTGTAATTTTATAACACAAGTTAATGTATCTTTTTGATCCCCATTTTTAAAACTCTTTGGGCTTTTAAGTTTTGGAATTTTCTGGCAAAACTGGGATTGCTTTGATAATGAAGTTTGATAACAAAATAGTTGCTTTTGCTTCCTCATAATCATATATATTTCAGATTGACCCCATCTAGAAGTAGTGACTGAATTATTTCCATGGTATCTTCTGGAGCAACAGAGTCCTATTGATACTCTGAGAGAAGAGCAGATGAACATTTTAGGGAATATCTGGGTCAAATATACTTTGGGATGAACTTCCCTTAAAACATTTAATTATTGCCAGACTTGGTGGCACACACCTATCATATCAGCTACTTGGGAGGCTGAAATAGGAAGATTGCAAGTTCAAGACCAGTCTCAACAATTTAGTGAAGCCCTAAGACATTTAGTGTTACCCTGTCTCAAAGTTAAAAATAATTTTACAAAAGGGCTGGGGATGTGGCTCAGTGGTAAAGCACCCTAGGGTTCGATCCGCAGTACTGAACAACAAAACAAGACATTTCATTCTTTATTATTGTGTGGCTAAAAACAAGTTAACGTTCTGCAGACATTCAGACCTTACCTATGAAAATATTTGCTTCTCAGTATTAATTATTATTGTAATTTATTGTGGTCTTGCTATGTAGAGGGGGAAAATAAAACATATTAAATGAGGTCATATGGTTGCCAAATGATTGCAAACTAATTAGTAGCTATATAGAATTCAATTTTATTTCCTTCTATTCTACCCCTCTCCAAAAATCACCACAAGCTAAATGTTTATTGTAGGAAGTACATTTTAAAGACTACATGAAGTTACTATTTTTATTGGTTTAAAAAATTTAAATACCAGAAATTTTAATACAGTTCAACCCTAATAGTATTATGTAACAGGGACTAGACATTAAACCTGGATCTTCATCTAAATACTTGTCTGTACTTAGTTAAGTAATTCAAACTCTCTGATCTCTTCTTAGCTCATAATTGGAATTATTAGTGAATGCTCTCGGAAAACTTCTTAAGATTTTTGTCAGTATCAAAGTCTTATTTGCAATCTAAAGTATGCTTTTCAAATGCAGGATGTTATGCACCTTAACTAATCTCTGTGTCAAAGTTTTGTCTTCAAAAATATCATATTTTGGGCTGGGGATGTGGCTCAAATGGTAACACACTTGCTTGGCAAGCACGGGGTGCTGGGTTAGATCCTCAGCACCACATAAAAAAAATAAAAATTAAAGATGTTGTGTCCACCGAAAACTGAAAATAAATATTAAAAAATTCTCTCTCTCTTAAGAAAATCATGTTTCTCTGAGAAGAGCAATGTGATTTAGAACTATAATGCTACTGTGGAACAGATGATTTTGTCCTTCAATGTGTTTTATTTATTTATATATTTATCATCATCATTATTTTGTTGTGATAGTGATGGTCATTCTGGGGATCAATCCAGTGCCTCACTGCATGCTAAATAAGTACTCTACCATATAGCTGCTTCTTAGCCCTTTTATTTTTTTTTAATATCAATATCAACCTGAGAATTAAGAAAATAAAAATCAACAGACCTGTTGGGTTTGTAGGTCCACATTCAACCTGAGAATCTCAATTTTCAGGACTGAGTAAATACTACTTACACTTGT